CTGCTTCTGGTACCACAAATTGACTGATTTCACTTTCATCAATTTCCGGTAGCAAATGCAGCAGTAACTGTGGAATCCGTAGCTTATTTCACCTCCAGAGACTCAGCATTTTTTGTTATTCTGCCTTCCTCTGGCTTCTACGGCTGCCCCCCTAAGTTTTTCTTTTATCTGCCATAGTCCAGTTTTACTGAGATATAGTAAGGGCTCAATAAATATTTGTTCAATCAATGACTGGATGAATGTGACTTCTATGCAAGAGAAAGAAAAACAAAAACAAAACAATATTCTCAGTGAGCAACCAAAAAATGTACCAATTTCCATCTCTTGATAAGACTATTGTTAATGCTGTGAATTTTTTCTCTCACTTCTTTATTCTTGTCATTCTTAAAGCTCAATTGCACAGACCATTTCTTCTATTTAGTGACTCTATACTCCTCCATTCCATTAGAATTAATTCTACTTTTATTTCTATTTAGTATTCTGACATGTAGTTCTATTACTATTTATACTGACCATGCTCCAAATGGTTCCTTTATAGAATAATTGTTTATAGTTTTTCACTCCAGTAAGTTGGAAATACCCAAAACATAGAAACCCTCTTCCTCATCATATTGTACTCAGATAATCCTGGAAAGATATACATACTTAATAACTATTGAATTGAATATTGAAGAATTCCTTAAAAATACATTTATAAATCATTAAGGCACAGTGGTTCCAATATTTCATGTGCTCAAATAACTTAAAGCCTTGGTCATTTTTTGTTTCTCTTTAATAGGTTCAATACTTTATAAAATTTTTCAAAGCTGTAAACTTTGCAGCTGTGAACTTTACTTACGTTTAGCAAAACATTCATCTGATATTTTATTTAGTTAAGTTACTATGTTAAGTGAACCAATTTATATGAGTAACATTAGATGCATTTGGTGTGAATTATGTTTAAAATGATGCATCATTTTGAGCATGATGTTTTATTTTTCTCTTGAACTTCAACTCTTTAAAAACACATTATATTTTATTTTCCTTGACTTTCCTTAGGAACTGAATAATACTACAAATACAAAGAGGTTTTAAAATTACACTTTTAAAGACTGAAAATCTCGACATAAGTGCCTTTGGTTGGGATCAACAGCCACACTAACAGATTGGCCTAGACCTAAAAAGTTTAAACCATGCTATTGAAATGTGCCACAAAAACATTTTATTATCCTTTATGTGACTCCTTCTTTAATCTTTTTTTTTCCTTATGATATTTACTAAAGGAAAATTTGAATTTAACACAGTGGAAATATTACATGTTACTTCTTGAGTCTCTCACACATACTAATTCAGATTGCAACTGGTTTCTATAAAGGAACAAGAAGGAAAACTCTACATTATGTTGAAGATCATATGCATTCCTAGTAGATATCATTGTGCTGTGGTGACTGTACTGAAAGAAAAAGAGAAGGTCTGTAATCTGGGAGCTGATGGAAACGTGGAAAAGCAAAGTGATAGAGGGAAATGAAGGTATTGTGTGGCTCTTAAAACATAGCTTGGGAGGGGCACCGGCGTGGGTCAGTCAGTTAAGCATCTGACTTCAGCTCAGGTCATGATCTCACAGTTCATGGGTTTGAGTCCCGCCTCGGGCTCTGTGCTGACAGCTCAGAGCCTGGAGCCTGCTTCAGATTCTGTGTCTCCCTCTCTCTCTGACCCTCCCTTCCTTGTGCTCTGTCTCTCTCATCTCTCAACAATAAATAAATGTTAAAAAAGTAGCTTGGGAATGCAGACAAAATATTGAGAGGAAAAATTAATGACGCCTGAATGGCCTAACTCCCTCTGTCAAACCTTAACACTGATTCCCTTGGTACTGTCCCTTCTCTTGAAAATAAAGCAAGGATTTATTGACCACAGAGGTAAGTCTGTGGTCAAAGTCTTTGGTTGAAGAAATAGACCAGGGAAATCTAATGGCTTGGGTCCATAATGTATGCCATTCCTTAGGGAACAATAAAAGGCACTGAAGTGTAACAGGTAAGGAGACCAGGAGACTAAGCACTGGATTTGAGGATACACATTCAAGTGCCAGCTCTGGCACTCATGAACTTTGAGGCCATGTCTAAGTCACCTACCCCCTGAGTCTTGGCTTCATCTGTAAATGATTAAATATGCTAGTACTGTGAGGATTCAATCACATAGCACATTTGGAATTTGCTAGTATACCTACAGTCTAAGAGCCAAGGGACTGAGTTTCATTTGAATGGCAAAAATGATAAGTTTACAATTTCTCCTTTGGAAAGTGTCAGACCTACGGAGTTATTACACATGAGTTTTGTTTTCTGTTTGCCTTTCCTATCCCCAAAAGAGTGTTCACTCTTCAGCTGAATATATATAATTTCATTCTCTAATGAAGAAAATAATCATATTTGTCAGATAATGGTCCTTAATTTCTCTTCTGATAATTTTCTTAAAAATGTAATGCCAAAAATTACATAAAGTCATATGTAATAGGACATATCCATATGTAAAAGACAGAGGCCCAGGTCATCTTGTTCAGTGATCAAGTCAGTACATTCTACATTGAGTTGACTTAGAAATCCTTTGATGTAAGGGATCACATTTTGTAACCCAAGGTAGCATGCTAGCATACTGTGAAGCACCAATGTTCCCACTAAATTATTTTTTGCTTCCCTGATGCCCACTACTCTTATGAATGCCTGCTCCCTGGGTCTGTCACCAGAATTTACTAGTGACCTAAACCAGAAGCCACAGAATCATTCTTTGACTTCTTCTCATCTACTTCATCCATTTAACCACTAAGATCTATCTATTTTACTGTCTCATCAATTTTAGAATCTTCCCTCCTTCTTATTGCTTTAACCCTAGTACTATTGCTCATTATCTCTTGACAGAACATAGGAAAAGCCTCCCAGCTGCTCACTAGTTCTGTCTGCTGTTTGATCCAAGCTTTACATTGTAGTCAAAATGATCTATTTATTAGGAAGATCTAATATTGGCACTCCCTAACTTGAAAAGCTCTATTAGTTTCCCCATTTACTAGTGAAAAAATAATTGAAATACTGGATACTTTTAGGGTTACTATCCCTTGTTTCTTGCTGTCTTCCTTTTCTTCAAATTTTATGCCCCAATCATATCAAGCAGATTTTAGTTCCCAAGGTGCACACCAGGCTATTTAACCTTGCTATGCTTTTGCAAGCTTTTAACTGTTGCTTAGATTTCCCTACCTAACTTCTTCTTTTTAAAGTATTTTAATTTAAATTCCAGTGTAGTTAGCATATGGTGTAATATCAGTTTCAGGTATACAATATAGTGATTCAACACTTCCATACACTTGGTGCTCATCACAGCAGGGGTACTCCTTAATTCCCCTCACTTATTTAACCCAACCCCCAACCAACCTCCCCCTTGGTAACCATCAGTTTGTTCTCTAGGGGTAAGAGAGAGATAAGAGTTTCTTGGTTTGCGTCTGTCTGTCTGTCTGTCTGTCTCTCTCTCTCTCTCATTTTCTTCTGTTCATTTGTTTTGTTTCTTAAATTCCACAAACTGCACTGATACAGTTTCTCCATTCCTCAGGATCTCATGCAGTACTGACAATACTGTGAAGATAAAGGGCACCTCTTACCTAGCTCCTCTACATCAAAGATGGTTCGTTCTTGCTACCTAGACTCCTAGAACTACCCAAGTCTCAAATTTGTTCTCCAGATGTTTCTTTAATTCATTGGGCCATCTCAGGCCCCACCAATAATTTATCTTTTTGCAGCTTCTGATACTCTGAACCAAAGAATCCTACTTATTACTTTGTGTGTTTGAATTTTTTTTTAATTTTACACCACAGTTATTATTGATATTTCCAAAGTAGCTTCCATTATTCCTCAGGATCAACTGTGGCCTCTAAAATATTTTATTATTTGATGCTGGCATATACACAAAAAATATAGGTATAAATATACATGTGCACATATGCATATAAATTTCAAAGGCTACAATGTCTCTTCATTAATAAAATAGCTACACCTAGTAAAATGTTTCTCTTAACGTAAGGTCCTCAAGTAGTACTTTGTTCAGTTCCCTGATGTATCTCAGCACCCTTACAAATACTTGGAAAATAATGTCTTTAATAATATCTGTTGAATGGTAGACTGGATGAATAAATGAATGAAGTAAGTGATTTACTTTTCTTACTGAATTAAAAATATTGACTCTGAAGTAGAAAGATGCATTTGACAATATTGCTTAAGAAATAAAATTTATTTTCTAGATGATCGTTAGCTTTATCATTTCTAATCAAAGACAAATAACTTAGTTTAAATCTTGATGTGTTGCCAAGATGAGTTGTGGAGTCTGAAACCCAGGTATTAAGCTCAAACTTTGAGTCTTCCCCAGGAAATCTGTGTCTAAAACCCAGCTGAAAACTGGTGAATGATCAAATTGGACAGAGGTTTTCATTACCTGAATCCTTTTTTATATTCTTAGCTGTCATGAAAACTTGACTCACCAGTTACTGCAAATAACTCTATAGGTGGGTTTTATTTTGCTCCTCATGCAATGGCTTTTAAAATATGAGACTGTTCTTAATGGGAAAGACTAAAATCAAGTGCCTCTCCTGTACTTTTTGAACATTAAAGTTATTTATTTCTTCTTTTCCAAAGTCAGAAAAACTCAGCATCTAATTCCAGAGTGACATTAGATTATCACTCACTTTGATTAGATAAGCATCACTGAAATAAAATCTATCTAATCTGAACAAAATGTATGTGTGTGTGAGTGTGTGTGTGTTTAGTATACACACACCCTCACAATGTGGAGTTGTATTAGTAGACATGAATCACAATCAGTCAAAATACAAGTGCATGCAAAGATATGAAATCATGGAGGCAATTTTGAATGAAAATAAGAAGAAATGGAGCTATAAGTCTTGCTCTAGAATGAACAGATTTGTTTTACAAATTTTGTATAAAAATATGCCATTTGTGTTCTTTTGAAACTAAATCTGTTCAACTCACCTTCATATAACCAGTCAGCAATCCCATTAAAAATAATTCCTTCTTTTCCAGAAGATGTCAGCCTCAATGAACTGCTCTTTATATCAGGTTGATAGTAGATATTATTTTCAAAAATATAAATCTGGATCCAGAAACATATAAAACAAACAAACAAAAACCAACATATTAGGAAGCTTTTAAAAATACTTTCATACTAAAATAAAATAAAATACTTTCATGCAATAGAACAATAGCTGAGGACCTAAGTCTCGTATTATTTTCCTGCTTCCTGTTTGTTTTTATTTAGTGCATACATTTGCATTCCTTTCAATTATTAATGGCACTTTCCTTCCTTATCATATCAATATCAAATTGTCATTTTGAAATTACATAGTACCGGTATTGAAGCTTTTAAATCTGTTTTTGAAACAATAATTTTTCATCTATTTCATTTTTTTTCACACAAAATTGATTTGGGTTTGAGTAATTCTTTGCATACTTAAAAGACTGATAAACTGTATCAGATGCCATTTTAGTAACAGCCAACAGACGGCTTAAAAGCTTCAATTTGGTGTCTTTACTTTTAGGAAAATGGATTTGGCCATCAATAAAATAATTTCTAGAGAATCTTTCTGATTCCATCCAGCCTGACTCACAAATCCCCTGATGAAAGGAAAGAATGGCAAAATTCCCTTGCACTGATTAATGGAACATGCTTTGCTATGCCCACTCTTTGCTGGCAATTCTTTGCTAAATAGCATAGCAATAATAATAACTGTGGGCTTGAGGGTTCAGGAGAGAGTTTTAATTTGAACACATCACAAAGTCTTCCAAAATAATATCATCATCAACAACAGCCCCCACAACAGGAACAATAATGAAATTGAGCAGGATCTGTCCACCCAAAAGGATGTGTCTTTAATAAATTCAGAATAAAATCACCTATAATCCATATTTGAATTTTTTAATTGTAATTTTGAGTAATCTCTACACCCAATGTGGGGCTTGAACACACAAAGTAAGAACTAGAGTCACATGTTCTACTGACTGAGCCAGCCAGGCATCCCACATTGGAGTACTTTTAATGTCAAACATTTCAAACTGCTGGTCTATCTGATAATATAACCTTCAGAGAACCATGTTTCATGCACATGTTGGAGGGAGTAGAAACTGTCAAACAGAAGACAAATTGCTATCTAGATCGAACATTCTACTAGGAAGGTGAAAGTTGCTAGTGCCTCACGTTCCAGCATGCTACAGGACCATTATACAGTAGCAAACAGAGCAAACACAAGCACTTCTGATATAACCCTCTGATTAGGTGCTAGATTTTAAATCCTGCTGTGAAAAATGATAAAAAATCATTTAAGTGTCCAGAAAATTTCATGATAGTCTACTCTGATTCTGATGATTTGGCAAGGATATAAACAGCAGACCTAATTAATCATTTTAACACTTTATATAATTTATATTACAGGTAAGAATGCCAATGTAAGAATGAGAATTTTTGAGGTTGTGGGGAGAAAAAAAGCTATAACAGGGTGTTCAAAAGAGAAGCAGACTAAAGTTATAATCAGGCAGAATAAATTCATTTTTTAATTTTTTTAAATATTTTTCTTTATTTCTAGGAGAGAGAGAGAGACAGTGTGAGCAGGGGAGGGTCAGAGAGGGAGGGAGATACAGACTCTGAAATAGGCTCCAGGCTCTGAGCTGGCAGTCAGCACAGAGCCCGACGTGGGGCTCGAACCCACGAACCGCTAGTTCATGACCCAAGCGAAAGTCGGACGCTTAACCGACTAAGCCACCCAGGTGCCCCAGAATAAATTTAAAATCTGAATGACTTTGATAACTTTCCGAACCTTTTTAAATCTCACTCCTTTTATTTTTTAAAAAAAATTTTAAGTGTTTATTCATTTCTGAGAGAGAGAGAGAGCACAAGCACAGGAGGAACAGAGAGAGAGAGAGAGAGAAAGAGAGGGAGACACAGATTCTGAAATGCTCCAGGCTCTCAGCTGTCAGCACAGAGCATGACTCAGGGCTCAAACTCATTTAATTTGGTTCAAAATACTAAGCTTTATGGAGGCTACAATTTTAAATAAAAAATTTTTTAAAAAGCCTCTAGCTTCAGCTTATGTGTAAATTATCCCAAACTATCGACCAGCATTACATATTATGTTGGTAATATATGGATTAGTAGTAGTAGTAGAATACTAACAGTAGTAGTGTTAGTACTATTAGTGGAAACAGTTCATAACAAATGACATTTACTGCTTTCATTTCATTTAGAAAGCTTTCAAGTGATAGGAAATAAATACATTTATTTTTTTCTTTTTCAAATGTTTGAGAGAGGGAGAGAGCTCATATGCGGGCAGAGAGACAGGGAGAGAGAGGATCCCAAGTAGGCTCTACTGTCAGCATGAAGCCTGACGTAGGGCCCTATCTCACTAACTGTGATGTCATGACCTGCACCAAAACCAATCCACTGAGACAAACAGGTGTTCTGGAAAGAAGTGAATTACTGGGTGGCTCAGGCTCAGTCGGTTAAACGACCGACTTCAGCTCAGGTCATGATCTCACGGTTCATGAGTTCAAGCCCCGCATCAGGCTCTGTGTTGACAGCTCTGAGCCTGTAGCCTGCTTCGAATTCTGTGTCTCCCCCTTTTTCTGACCTTCCCCCATTCATGCTCTGTTTCTCTTTGTCTCAATAATAAATAAAACATTAAGAAAAGTGAATTATTGAAATCACATGCATCATACCTAGCTGAAAGTTTGAGAACTATACCTCAGGTGTCTTAAAACTGGGTGGAAGTTGGTTTTAACAAGTTGCACCATCCCTTATAACCAAGAAACAATATTAGCTGTATTCTAGCCATCTAAAGCTTAAGCTTTATATCTTTTATCTACTACCCCTTTTTGCCTTTCACAAAGAGACACACAAAAGCACATAAACTCTTCCTTACTTGGAAGGAATCCCATGTTCGTACTTGATTCTTCTATAAGGGCTTGTGAGCAATAACGGTTCAGATCATCTACACCCAGGATACTTAAGGACATGTGGCTATTCTTAGGAGTAGAGGTGACTTAATCTAAAGTAATATAGTTCCAGACCCTCAGCTTTCTGAAGGGAACAAACTCTTAGTCAAAACAATTGATAAAACCTCCACGATTTCAGCAGATGTATAAATTATCCAAAACCAGTGACCAGTAATTACATTTATATTGGAAGAACAGATTGGATGATATTCAGAATCCATATGAAACTGACATCTGCTTCAATGTAAAAGAACAAGTAATATGGAATCTGAATTTTAATGCCATTTTCTGAAAGCTGAAATACTAGGGAATGTCCACAAGATCTTTTTTCTATGGGCAAAAAAAATCTGTGGCTGCCTAAATGAAGACGTACGTTTTAATCTTCTGACCTCTTTTAAATAGTCAAAAATTTTTCTTAAATTATATTAGTTCCAAATAATAGTCACAAACTCTAACCACTAGCTTAACAGTAGGATAACTGCAGATGTTCATAGGTACTACATGGGCACTGGATCCAAATGTCAATCATCAAGGACTTAAACTAGATGTAAATCACATTGAAAATATGACAAACCGTAATGCTATTTATCCTAATGTTATTGATTAAGCTGTCATAATTGTTTGATGCCATGAATCAATTCCTTCAACGAGCCACCTAAACAGTGTAACAAATAGGAATGGATAGCTATTTGTCCATTTAACCTGTCAATTTATAGAGCAAGCCCAGCTACCCAGATTTTCAAAATCAATGATCTTCTAACTTTTTTAAAGTTTATTTATTTATTTTGAGAGAAACAGACAGCATGACTGGGGAAGAGGCTGAGAGAGAGGGAGAGGGAGAGAATCTCACACAGCCTCCACCCTGCCAGTGCAGAGCGGGATGTGGCGCTGAACACACAATACTGCAAGATCATGACCTGAGCGGAAACCAAGAGTTGGACCCTTCACCTACTGGGCCACCCTAACACCCTATAATGAACAGTCTTAATACACTTGCAAAATTATTCAAAATTGGTAAAGATATCAGAAAGGGAACAGGAAAGACAATTAAAGTACTATGTGCTGAATCGTGAGAAGAAATGTGTAATAAATATTCCAAGAAATTAATCATTGTGCGTGTTGATGTTGGTCATTATCAAGTAATTGGACATAGTGTGTATCACTGCTGAGCAGGAGTCTATAAGGGCCGATTATTCACCTTTTCTTCCCACTGCCATAACCACCCGCAATACTTCTGATGGTGGACACATGAGGCCTTAAATGCTGGGTGAAGAAGCTTGGAGCACATAGCCAAGTTGTGAAGGACACATAGCAAAAAATGAGTATTAGATGTTAAAAATCATTATGATTTTGGAACTGAGGGTAATTATAATGTAAATTAGCCTACTGTGACTGATTCAACTAGACAATGGTTGATAGTAGCAGACCCTTGCAAACTTTTAAAGAGCTTAAAAAACAGCAAAATTAAACAGGAATACAATTGAATATCAGACCTATTTTTGTGGAAATATTACTGAAAAGTTATTCTACCTTCACTGATTTTCATGATAATTTTAAATTAGAAAATTGTGAATTGTTCAAAAATCCCCATGCACTGTAATGATGTTAGAGGATCTATAACACTCTAGTTGAGATGGTACTTTGGTTGCCTTCTATTGTAACTTACTTTCTAGGGAAAAAATTATACTTAGGAAACTATCCCAGATAACAGATATTACAGTAGGCAGGGATGTGGTGAATGGAGTCCTTTCCTATGTTGGTTGTAAAAATATTAAGTGGTGTGGCCAGATGGGAAAACGATATGCAAATGAAAACAAAACATAGTATACCTTATCAGCTGTCCCAAACCTGGGGCCTTCTCTTGTAGGGCAAAAAAAGAAAGAAAAATCACTAATAAGTAGGAAATACTGATGGATGATATTTATATCGGCAGTCTTTATACTGGCCAAAAGGAAAAGTCAAAGTGAAAACCTATCAAAGCAAATGCCTGGATGGATTATGATTCATCTGTATCATGTTATAACATTCGGGCTTTGAGGTAAACAAAGTGGTGTTACGT